TAGCAAGGTTCTTACTGATTGAACTTTGCTATTTGTATACTGATTTTTGACACGTTGTTTGACACTTGTATTGTTGTCAAGTGTCAGTTGGATGGATAACCACATTTCGAAAAGCACTTTCTCTCTCTAGACCAAAACGCTCTCCCTTCTCTCTAGAATGGGAGACAAACCACAAACCTTCAAGAATCTCAACACACCACCCGATATACCACCTTTACCTGGTGGATTTCAACCCCAAACAACCAAAAATCATCCAGCTCTTGAACCCACGACAGTTTTGGAGGCAATACAATCTAATTTGTGTGAAAATATTGATGGCACGAATCCCAATGTTGCCAAAACTCCATCCTATGCATTGAATCAGGGTCTGGGACCATCGCCAATGATTCCAGAAGGGCTGAAAACCCTAGGGGTGGTAGAGATTTCGTCTGAATCGCCCAAAATTGACAGATCGAATCCCGAGGGGCCGAAATTTGATTTTTCAATTAAATCTTCCACGGACCTCAACCAAGGCCATGCACCTAACCATCAGATTGCCGATGAGAAGGTGAACCTTCGACTAAAAAATCATCTGATTCCGACGTCGGACGCACCGTCACCGGCGATCGCAAGTTACGGTCAATCACAGATTTCGGCCAATCCTGAACCCATTTCTGAAAACGGAACATATCGTGATGATCAGCACGAAATTCTGCATCTACCTGTGAAAAATCATAATTTTCTAACAACATTGGAAAATCGACGCCGGTCAACGCCTGGGGCGTGGTGGTCACGGGCTGGTGACCTTTCAGCAGAATGTGGGGAATTTTGTTACGGACCCAGTTCCTTCATCGGATTTGCCACGGGTAGTCCCTACAGTAATTAATCAAGCTAGGAAGTCATATGCGGCTGCACTTTCTGGTAAATCTGTAGTCTCTCAAGCTGAGCGCAGCCAACGGAAGTCTTTTGCACAGGTTTTGCAAGCCCCACCGGACTCCAATGACCATAGGTTCACCTCTAAGGAACCTTTCATGCATATGGGACTTTCTTTCTGAACCGTATAAATTTACTCTTGTTGGCAAATTCACACGTCACAAGCCCTCCATGATTAAGGTACGTGACAGCTTTCAAAAATTTGGGTTTTGTGGTGATTATATGATTAGACTTATTGATGCGACTCATATTCTAATACACTTGGCACATGAGGATGATTACTCCCGCCTATTTCTCAAGCCCTCTTGGTACATCGATGGTTGTCTCATGTGTGTTTTTAAGTGGACGCCTAGCTTTAATCCTAAGCATGAGACTCCTATTGTCCCTGTTTGGGTTTCATTCCCATTATTTCCCATTCACTTTCGGGCAAAGAGTAGTTTGTTTGCCCTGGCTAAGGCCATTGGAATCCCACTACGTATTGATGAGGCCACTTCAGATTTACGATGACCCAGTGAGGCACAGGTATGCATTGAGGTTAATTTGGAGTATAAGCTTCCAGATAGGATTTGGATTCAGTGTGAAAAGTGTGGAGGATATTGGCAAACAGTTGTGCATGAGAAGAAGCCAGATTACTGTTTTCGGTACAGACATTTTGGTCATACTGAGGAGCATTGTCGCCCTGCACCACCACCTGCTCTAGTTGTTGACCCTGTTCTTAAGCCTACTATAGAGATTGCCAAGGATAAGGGTAAAGGAAAGGAGGTCGTTATTGAACCTCCAAAGCGATGGATTCCAGTTCAGAGAGATCAGAAGAGGCAACACGATGCTAGCACATCTGGAGTTCAGATTCCGCTTTCTGTGTCCACTGTCATCACATTAGTCCCATTACCTACTAGCACTAGCTCACATGCTCAGACCCAGCCATCTGTTCCTCCAGTTGCTCCTCTCTCTGCTACAGCCTTACCAGTTATCAGTGTTGTAGATCCAGTTACATCTACCACTCCTTCAGCTCCTGCTCAGGCTATTAGTCCACCTATCACTCCATTTTATGATCCTATGTTGGATGAGATGTTGAAGAGGCCACAAACACAGAATTCTACAGCAGACACAGTCAGCAGAGCTTCCTACATTCCAGGCTCGACACCGGGTAGGGCTCAGGCACCTATTTCCACTTCTTCTCCTCCTGTTTGTCATCAGAATGTGAAGGCATCTATTCCATCTTTGCAGTCAGTGCATTCAGATACAGAGGGCTCACCTCAGATTGAGGTTCACCAGCAGGGACCTTTTCGAAGATCTTCTTCTGATGACTTGGTGGGTTTGGATGAGAGGACAGAGGAATATGGATTTATCCCAGTTGTTCGGAAGAGACACCCACGGGCTACTGATACTCCACATCCGAGCAGAAGGATCACTCGGAGTCAGTCACATGATACCTCCTCACATTCTCCTTCCCTATGAATGTCATCATTTGGAATGTGAGAGGTGTAGCTAGTGTAGCTACTCGTCGACGCCTGAAGAAACTTATACAGCTTCATCAGGTTTATATTCTAGTTCTATTGGAGCCTTTTGTTCTACGGCAGAATTTTGCATATACGCGATGCTATCTGCGCTTCGACATGGGAGCTCAGAATGAATCGAATAAGATCTGGTTTTTCTGGAATTCGGGGACTAATGTTACTGTTATTGTTGATCATCCCCAGTTTCTTCACGTTAGAGTTGAGGATCCTAGACTAGCGTGTGCTATCTATTTGACTCCAGTCTATGCGTCATGCGATGCTACTATCAGGAGAGATTTGTGTGTGGGTCTTCACCACATCTCCCTCGATATGGACGATCCTTGGCTAGTTGGAGGAGACTTTAATGTTATTACACATGATGGAGAGCGCACTGGTCATAATACCCGTAATCGTGGCACTACTGCTTTCTCTGATATGATGTTAGACTGTGGCTTAGAGGATACGGGTTTCATTGGAAATCGATATACTTGGACCAATGGTCGGGTTAGAAAGAGATTGGATAGGGTACTTATTAATTCTACAGCTGCAGCTTTTGTCGACAGCTTACAGTGAAACACTTGAATCGGACTTGAGGTCAGGGTTGATGATGCTGAGATAATATATGATGGAGATCCTACACCGGAGCACCGTAACTTACTACATCAGGCCCAGGCAGTTTTGAACCGGAACTTGTCTATTGAGGAGGGCTTTTGGAAGCAAAAGGCTGGTTCATGTTGGGCATGTGAGGGTGATCACAATACTCGATATTTTCATGCGATGGTTCAGCGGCGTAGGATCAAATCGCGTATCAGGTCTATCAGGACACAGGCGGGGGAAGTGTTATCTACTCCTACTGA